AACACTAGACAGGAAGGTATCCTTACAAACCCCAAAATATACAAGTGGGTAGGGATGAACCACCACCACCTCCACCAATTTGGTACCATGATCTGTGCAAGGAAGAAGAAAGCAACAAGGCACCTTATGGCCCTAAAACCTCACCAGAACCAATACAAGGCAAGTTCAGAGGTCATGTGGATGGCAGCAGCTGAACTCCAAGATTTTACCCTCTTATACTGGGCAAGTGTATGGATGTGATGAAGAAAGAGAGGGCTGATGCAGGCTAGGACCTCTCAGAACCACAAGCTGAGAAGAAATTACTGGAAACAAAATTCAAATTGAGCTGGCAGAGTGACTCAAGCAGCAGTGTGCCTACCTAGCAAGCATGTAGCTGAGTTCAAACCCAGTGCCATAAAAAAAAAAAAAAAAAGCAGAAAAATCCAAATTAAACAGTAGAAGAGCAACAAAGATCAAGAGTAAGATGGTTTAGAGCAGCTGGGGGTGGGGAGGGGTTCATGCCCATGATCCTAACACCTGGGAGACTAAGGCAGGAGGAGCACAAGTTCAAGGCCAGCCTGGGGCTACATAGTAAGACCCTGACTTGGGGTTGGGAGGAAGAGTAAGATGGCTCAGGTAAAAGCTGGTGAGAGGAGGGTTAGAATACAAAAGTTAGACTACCTGCCGGCTATGACTCACGCCTATAATCCCAGTTACTCAGGAGGTAGAGATCAGGAGGCCAGCACAGACAAAAAGTTAGTGAGGCCCCATCTTAACTAACAAGCTGGGTGTGGTTACATGTACCTGTGCTCCCAGCTACATAGGAGGCTTAGGCAGGAGTACTGCAGATCAAGGCTGGTCCTAGGCAAAATGCAAGACCCTACTGAAAATGTGACTAAAACAGAAAAGAGTCCTGAGTATGGTTCAAGTGATACAGTATCTGCCTAGCAAGTGCAAGGCCTTGAGTTCAAACCCCAGTACTACCAACAACAAAAAAATGTTAAGCTACCTGACCCACATTTCTCTTTTAAAAGAACAAGAAAAGTAAGAGACAGAAGATAACCTAGGTTAGATCTCGACAAAAAAAAATCCTGACCAAAAAAAAAAAAAAAAGAGCTGGGCATGGTGTTGCATACCTATATCCCAGCACATGGGCAGCTGCTGCAGAAGTGTGACTTTGAGGCCCGGCAGAAACTATTTTGCCCTTATCTCTAATTTTGTTGTAGAGAGAGTATAAGCAATAATAGGAAGGAACAAGGGTTTTTGCTAGTTGAGATAAGGATAGCTATACAGGGAGTTGACTCACATTAATTTCCTGTGCGTGTGTGTTACCTTCTAGGTTAATTCTTTTTGATCTCACCTTTTCTCTAGTTCCTGGTCCCCTTCTCCTATTGGCCTCAGTTGCTTTAAAGTATCTGCTTTAGTTTCTCTGCATTAAGGGCAACAAATGCTAGCTAATTCTTTAGGTGTCTTACCTATCCTCACCCCTTCCTTGTGTGCTCTCGCTTTTATCATGTGATCAAAGTCCAATCCCCTTTTTGTGTTTGCCCTTGATCTAATGTCCACATATGAGGGAGAACATACGATTTTTGGTCTTTTGGGCCTGGCTAACCTCGTTCAGGATGATGTTCTCCAATTCCATCCATTTACCTGCGAATGATAACATTTTGGAGAACACAGAAAATTTGACACTACTTAGTGAAAGAACATACTATGTATAACCAAAGCCAAAACCTACTCTAGTAACATTAAAAAAATACTGGGGGAAAAAATCCTATGGGCATTCAGGCAAAAAGAGAAAAATATTCAAAAGATCAGACAAATTGACTTTCAAGTAAAAGTCCACAGCCAAGAAAAAAAAAAAAGGTTAAGTTGGTGAGGTGAAGGATATGATAGCTTGACTGAGTCTTATTACAGAGTATATATACACATCAAAACATCACATTATACTCCAGAAATATACACAAAAATTGTCAATTATCTATAAGGCAGGCAGATAGGCAGACAAACAACTTGTTTGGAGGATGTTAGGGAACCAACTCTTTCTATAAAAACTGGCAAGTGAAGTGTAAGAATTTATCCTGTCTTTTGTGTATGAATTATACTAAAAGGTACTGCAGATAAGACAGTTTCTTTTTACAGACATATTCTAGCTGATGAAGAAACAGTAAGAGGTAAACTATCACCACTTCACAACACCAATAAGGCTCTAAGATTCCAATAACAAGTCAGCTAACACGAAAGGAGAACCAAGCTTCACGTGCCTCCTGATGACACCAAGTACAAAGCACCACATATGAAGGAGTGTTGTCTACACAAAGAAACCTGAATCTGATTAGGCCTGCAGAGCCTATTACCAATTTTTGGGAAATGCACAGGTCAGAGAAACATGTAGATGCAATCTGCAACACAGGATTAAGTCCTAGTAAATCAATACATAAAAACATCAATGCCCATTACAAAAATGAAACAAGTAACTCATGCATAAAAACCCCCACAAATTACCAATAAAGATACTGAACAAGACCTCAATATTAAAACTTGATGATTCTCCCCTATGAGTTTGGCAAAGGCCACAATATATACTCTCTACACTATTGGCAAGGGTATAGAGGCCAACAATGTTATTGGTGGAAGCATAAGTCGATGTGAATCTTAGAAATCAATCTTTTTCACATTTTCAAAGCATGCTTCTTGATCAAGTCCATTTCTATTAATTCCTCCTATAAAAAGATTAGAGAAGCTAGGCACCAGTGGTTCATTGGGAGGATCATGGTTCAAGGCACGCCTGAGCAGGGAATTCATGAGACCCCCATCTCAACTAGCAGCTGGGCGTGGTGGTACATGCCTGTCATTCCAAGCTACTCTAGAGGCTGAGATAGGGAGGATCAACCTTTCAAAGCATCCCCAGCAACAAGTTTACAAGACCCCATCTCAAAGCTATACAATGAAGCCATTTAAAAGAACGTGTATTTATTCAGAAAGCTCTCTAAAACTTAACCGCAAAATGCAAAATTTCCTATCAGTGTATGATGATGCTAGTGGTAGCCAAATTACTGTCTCATCAAGAACAAAAACATACACAATTCTAACAATGGGTTAAGAAAGTATGCACAATTAAGATATTGCCATCCATACCCCTTTGAAGGATAGTCTGCAAGTTGACATGAGTACACCACTTTCCTTGTACTGCTAAAGAATGTATGACATTTGTGCATACATTGTCATATCATCCTAGGACTCAATGGGCTGAAAGAATGAACTTCATAAAGACTTCACATAAATTTGTGACTGGTGATTTCCATGCTGCAGGAGCAAGAGCAGTCATGCCTGGTAATGACGAAGCCTTGTCATGCGCAGGAGCAAGAGCAGTCATGCCTGGTAATGACGAAGCCTTGTCACCAGCAGGCTGAGTTGTCACTACTGATAAATGTACCACCACTGAACAAGTCAAGACACCAGCCCTTTTCACTTTGGGTGGCAACGAAATTCAAGGGTTTACTATGCTTAAAAAGATAATTGTACCCATCTGTTCTCAAACAATGGGAATGGTGGACTGAGTCAGAAGTCACTGGCCAATCCTGCCTCAGTAGGCCACGGTGTTCTAGGCCACTTAATATATGTTAAAGCTGCTTTCTTCTAAAAACAGAGCCAAGATTTTTGCCACCAGGACAATTTATGCAAATTATACCAGAATGTCCTTTATTTTTTTTCTGGTGGAGATAGGGGAATGAACTCGGGACTTTGTGTTTGCAAAGCACTCCCCTACCGCTTAAGCCATACCTCCAGCTCCAGAATGTCCTTTAATCTTTATTTGCACCACCATGAGAAGTTTTTGCATGCCCAGTGTTCTAATTCTGAATCTTAGAAAAATGAAGCCTCCTCTTAGTGTTCAAATAAGAAAAAAATTATAAATGGACACCATCAGGGATGCTCAATCACTTTGGAGTCAAAAGCTTGAACATCTATTAGATAATGTGAGATTGAGCAAATCACCCTATCTGAGCCTGTTCTTTATTAAATAAAGTTAGTAAGTGGAGTTTAGGGGATTAAAATAAGATAAATAAATTTTTAAAAATTCACAGGGCATACACGTGCATTTTCTGTTTAGAATACTGCAATGGATCAGGTTATTTTCAGGAACACTTTAAATAACATATTGAAGACACCAAAAAGAAACAGTGACTACCAATTCATTGCACAGGTAGAAATATTGCTCCTAGTACACAAAATAATTATTTCCATGGAGACACATTATTCCTTTGTTTGTTTGTCAGTAGTGGGTTTGTTTGTCAGTAGTTGCAAACAGTCTGAACTCAGGGTCTCATACTTGCCAGGCAGATGTTGTATCACTTGAGCTACTCTGCCAGCCCATTTTTGTGTTGGGTATTTTCAAGATAAGGTCTTGCAAACTATTTGTCCAGGCTGGCTTGAAAATACAATCCTCCTGACCTCTGCCTCCTGAGTAGCAGCTAGGATTACAGGCCTGAGCCACCAGTGCCAATTTTTTTTTTTTTTGCACTGGAGATTGAACTCAAGACCTCATTCACACTTGCTTAGCAGGTACTCTACTGCTTGAGCCACTCTGCCAGCCCCATTCTTGCTTTAAAGAAGACAGTAAGCAAGCACCTTTTATGGGAAAGAGTTCTCGATAACATCGTTCTTCCGAATAATCCTGTTTTTTCTCTCCTCTGGACATAGAAACACATCCTGAATTGGGGCCATACACAGAGGGTGAACTGTGCTGTGAAACACACATGGATATTGTAGGTGCAGAGCAGGCTCTTATCCCCATGGTTTGAGAATACCAATGCTGCTGCTGTAGTATCTTAGAAACATCCATTACTTCACTTCTAAAATCTTTTCAAGAGAAAAACTATAAATTTTACTTGCTAAGAAATTGCAATACACTTCTATCAGTTTCCTGTATCCATTTTATGTGAAGAAAATTTAAATAGTTTCCATGCTATATTACCACCAAGAGTATCATTTTGGGAGGGTGGGGGGAGAAAGGTGGTTATTTTAATAGACAGAAAACTCTGTCTTTCCCCATGCTTTAACAACACTGGAGCAAGCAAACTGTAGATGATGGTAGCTGCCTGTTTCTGCAGTTTTATTCCAACACTGTCTTCTACCCTTGTGTTTGTATGATCAGTGACAGCTTTCATTCAGCAGAATAGAGTAGTTGCAAAAACACACCATATGTGGATCACAAAACCTAAAATAATTACTACATAGCTCTGTAAGAAAAAGTTTGCCAAGCGTTCACTGAAATATTATAACGTTATACTAAATAAGCCATCATCTGAAAGCAAACTAAGTGAGAACACAAAAATACCAATGACATGCTGGCTCTGATTCAGGCACTTTCAAGATCATAGTTTATTTATTACTTGAGATAAAAAGATAGTATACATATTAGGGAATCCCTTAAAATTCGACTTTAGAGTTATACGCCATCTAGTACTTTTGCATTGAATGTTAACCAAAAAAAAAATTCTAAACACCTGAAAGTCCCACTATTAATATGAACTATGGTAATAAAAAATTTGACATTTAATTTGCTCAATATATAGTATTTACATTTTGAAACCAAGGGTGGTACAATAAACAGTGATAAAGAAATACTAAAATAAACTTTAAAAAGCAAAGGTTTATAGTCTTACAATGTGCTAATTATCATAACTGTATATAAAAATTAAAACAGCAGAGCTTCTTGTTACAAAATTCTTAATCATCTGAGCTGTAGTCATTACTTGCTATTAATTTACATGCAACATCTGCTAGAACTGACATTTGATTTCTTTTCCCAAGAAAGTATGAGTAGATAAATGACATTTCAGAGCAGACATTAATTTACTGTGGACAGAAAAAGAAGAAACTGTACTCAAGATTAGTACTGGTTACAAGTCTCTTCCCTACAGAAATCATAAAAATATTAAGACCAAAAAATTAAAAACTCCAAAAAGAGATGCATAGGCAAAGAGTACCATGAATGGCACAGCTCAAAAAATTCTAGGATCAGTCACACATCTTTTCTCTCTCCTTCAATGAGAGGTCTATTTTGCTATCAAATAACAATGACTGAAACAAGTGAGGGGCACCAGGTGTATAACTAATTAAATCTTGCAAAATTCTAAGATGGGGACAGATGAAGGGGGCAATTTATATATAATTCAAACTATATACAGCATAACTGGAATGAAGCCCATTCCAAACTGGCTTTGTGAAACAATTGGACCTTTATGATTTAATAGTTAAAATTATAACAAGTGTAAGAATACAATAGATTTACATGGGCGCAAAATCCAAGGGGCATTTTATATTAAGTATTTATTTACTGTGCTGTTCTGTTTTCAATTTAAAAATAATTTTGTTAAGTATACATCTCAACTGAGGTCTATGTATAAAAATGTCCTAATAGATACAGATATTTACCTTTGGTGAGTTGAAGGCCTTGTTGTGACTTCTGTCTGAATTACAGACAGAACGCCAGACAGATGTACATGCACATGAGAAAACTCAAGCTGAGGGAATCCAAAAGCTGTGCATGCGAAGTGACTGGAGGTACTTTGAAAGTTAAAGTATACCAGAAACCCAAAACAGGTAACAGTGAAAATGACAACAGGGAGTGGAATGCCAATATGGCAGTAAAATTTGTTGAAAACTGAAAGAGGAAAAGCCTCTCGTACCAGCAGAATCCTGCATACAAAAAAGAAATAGCCACCCACCATTTCTTAAAACAAAAGCCAATTATACTGTGGGGAAAGTACAAATTGCAGATTAGAAGTCAAGAAAAACTACTGGTTGACGTGAGAGAAAGGAGACATTGCGCTCTGACAGTTACTTGGTGAATGCAGCCACCACAGCCCACAGAACCTCATTGGCGCCAGCCTTCAGACACTCCACTTCCGGGTCTAAGTCGAGCAGCTGCCGTACTCTCTTGGTGGCTAAATCATACTGCTCATCCAAAAGAGGAGCAAAAGCATTCTCCAAGACATCTGAGGCATGGGCTAGGTAAATGAGGGCCAGCAAGCGCTTGTCCATTCGATGAGGGTCGTTCACCCACTTGTCAAGAACAGCTTCTTGTACCTTCTTGATGAGGCGCTGCTTAATGTTGTTGTTGGTGAGAGGATGTGTTGTCATGTCAAATAGTAGGAAGTTCTGTTTCTCTGTTGTCAGTACACCCTTTTCTACTAGGTTTTTAGCTAATCGTTCCCGTACATTTCTTAACTGATAATGCAACTTTAATGGATTCCATGTCTCACCTAAACGAAAGATTTCAGAAGTTAGATGGTAAGTATTACTTAATTTTGCAAAATTTTTCTATTAAAATGAAAAGTAAATTCTGATTCCCCTCCCTCCAGGAATAAAACTCAAAAATAATTATTTTTCCAACTAAATTCCTCAAGGCTGGACCTCTGGATTTTAAGCACCTGGCACATTCTCAGGCATAGCAGTCACGCGTAATTCTGAACTGAAAGCAGTCTTCAAACCATACCAAGTCGCCCTTAGTCTAATGGGGAAATGAGACAACATTAGAGGATGGTCCCACTTCCCTCCAACTGTTGTCAATAAAAGCAGCCAATAAAACCAGGCGTGGTGGCCCATGCCTCTAATCCCAATACTCAAGAGGTGAGGCAAGGAGGATCACAAGTTCCAGGCTGGACTGCCTGAGACTCTTTTAAATTAAACAACAACAACAAAAAAAAGCAGCAAAATGAAAGGCTTCTTCATTATAACACCAATCTGCAACATGTAGACAAAGGGTGGGAAGAGTTTCCTGCTAGTATGCTACTCCTAAACTTGCCACTCATAGTCTGTGAAGACCGGAATGTCTGTGTAGGCAATGTTACTCTTTGATGACAAATAATAATAAAGCTAATTCTAAGACAAATTTTTTTCACAATTTTAATTTTACCATCTATGTATACTTTCTTTTGAGATAAACATTTAAAATAAAACCCAAATTTTTAACTAAAATAGCTTTCTTTATAGAATACTAGAAAGAAATCCATCTTAGCTATCTTTTAGATTATGTATGACAACTTTTCTTTTTTGTATTTTCTGTATTTGCCAAATGACTTCCAGTAGACACAAACTTTTTAATAATTTGAAAAGAAAATATTACAGCACTTTCCCAACTTAGAACATGTCAAAGAACAATCACAGGCGCCTTTATTAAAGACAAAAGCTCTAAAGTTGAAATCTGATTAACACTGAGAGTAAACCTTAACCTGCATTACTCAGTACTGAAGCCATTAACTACATGGAGCTATTAAATTTAATTTAAAACTTCAGTTCCTCAGTTGCACAAGTCACATTTCAAGTACAAACAGCTATATGTGGCCATTGGCTACTGACTATGCACGATGTCTAACATAGGAACAGAACACTTTCATCACTACAGAAAGTTCTAGTAAACAGTGGCACCTTAAAATATATTACTGTTCAGATGATCAAAGACAGGTGTTTTACTATATGACGTCATACTGAAGAATACAGGGCTATGACACAGTAATCAAGCAATCCTGGACTTAAACCCTTCACCATAAGTAGGAACATGTATAATCCATGAAACAACTGTTTTCAGATAATGGTCATAAAGCAGTCCAGAACTGTGACCCTTGAGGAAAACCTAAGTGAGCCGTATGCTTGTCCAAGCTTACTAACTGGAGGTACATCCCAGGTGTCAGAGCAGGAAGGAAGCAAAACACAGCAGTCACCCTTCATGAAGAAGTCAGCAATTCAAAGTAAAAATGGCTATCCTACAAAAAGCAATCTACATATTCAACACAATTCCCATCAAAATCCCAAAGACATTCATCACAGAGATTGAAAACTCAACCCTAAAGTTCATTTGGAAACACAAAAGACTGCAAATTGCCAAGACATCACTGAGTAAAAAAAGCAACACTGAAGTATCACAATACCCAACTTCAAACTATACTACAGAGCCACAGCAATAGAAACAGCATGTACTGGCACAAAAACAGATATGAACACCAGTGGGACAAAACAGAGGACCAGGATATGAATCCACGCAGTTACACCCACCTAATTTTTGGCAAAGGTGTCAAAAACATACAATGGCGAAGACAGCCTCTTCAACAAATGTTGCTGGAAAGACTGGGTATCTGCCGCAGCAAACTGAAACTAGATCCATGTTTGTCACCCCATACAAGTATCAACTCAAAGTGGAATAAGGACCTTAATATCAGACCTGAAACCTTGAAGCTAGTACAGGAAAAAGCAGGGAATACAATGGAAGCAATAGGCATAGGCAAGGACTTCCTTAGTAGAACACAAGCGCCTCATGAATTATGAGAAAGGATTGACAAATGGGACTACATGAAATGAAATAGCTTCTACACAAAAGAAACTGTCTCTAAATTGAAGAGACCTACAGAATGGGAGAAAGTCTTTGCTAGCTATGCATCAGACAAGGGACTGATAACCAGAATATTCAGGCAGCTCAGAAAACTAAACTTCCTCAAAATCAAGGATCAATAATGGGCAAATGAACTGAACAGAACTTTTTCAAAGGAAGAAATCTAAATGGCTAAAAGACATATGAAAAAATGCTCACCATCCCTGGCCATAAAGGAAATGCAAATCAAAACCACACTAAGATTTCACCTCACTCCTGTTAGAATACCTACCATCAAGACCACCACTAACAAAAATGTTGCCGAGGATGCAGGGGAAAAAGGAACCCTCATACACTGCTGGTGGGAATGTTAGCTAGCACAATCACTTTGGAAAACAATACGGAGGTTTCTTAATAAACTAAAAATAGACCTGCCATATGATCCAGCAATCCCACTCCTAGGGATATACATGAAGGAATGTGACACAGGTTACAACAAAGGCACCTGCACACCTATGTTTATTGCAGCACTATTTATAATAGCTAAGCTATGGAAACAGCCAAGATGTCCCACTACCAACAAATGGATGAAGAAAATGTGGTTCTTAAACACAGTGGAATTTTATTCAGCCACAAAGAAGAATAAAATTTTGTCATTTGCAGATAAAAGGATGGAACTGGAGAACATCATCTTAAGTGAAGTTAGCCAGGCCTAAAGCCACATGTTCTCCCTCATATGCAGACTGCAGACCTAAAACAAATGCAGCAGTATTATGGGACATGGGTCACACTAAGAGGAGTCTGTGCAAGGGAAGGAAAGGGCAAGGGAAGGAAACCAAAATCTTGGATGAGGTTGATGTGCTCTCTGTACAGGAATGAATACAGAAATTTTAAACTGGCCAGGGCCACCATGGGAAGTGGACTAAGGAGGAGTGAAGAGGACTGGAGGAGGCAAATCAACTGGAGCTGTAACACACATATGCATGGGACCACCACAAGGAAACTCCCTGTGTAGCTACCTTTATCTCAAACAAGGAAAATGTCATGTTTCTCATTTTATCTCTTTTATGTTTTTTCTTGTAAAAAATCAGAGGAGGGCGAAATAGATTCTGCCGGTGGCGGGAGGTGGAGTTGTGTGGTTGGCACCAGTGGGAGGGTGGAGGTGGCAGGGAAGGAGGTAGGAAGATGAACATGGTAAAGTGAATACACATGCATGTAAATGCAAAAATGATACTTGTTGAAACTGTTCCAGGAATCAGGGAAGGGGGAATGGGGGAGAGAAGTGGAGGAGGGAATTCAAGTATGATATATTTGATACATTGTAAGAGCCTTGTAAATGCTACAATGTACCCACACCCAGCACAACAATTAAAGAAAAAAACTGAAAAATTTGAGACCACATAAGGTGTAAAAGTTGTCAAAATCAAAATGGAGTCACAAGCTTAGTGACAAAAAGAAGTAGCCAGGAATTTATGATGAAAAGATTTTTACTCAGGACTGGCTTATAGTAACTCAAGAGGTTTGCTGAACCACACCTTGTCTAAAGGCCACTACAACCTTATATGAAAGTACTGTTACAAGGACATCTTCCTAAGAAATTGTTTGTTTAACCTTGGGCTGATGCCACTACTGCTATTAGTCATGGTGGCCAAGAAGTATTGTTTCAAAAATCTTAACTCATTCTTGCCTTTAAAGTCTTCCCCTTGCTTTTATCTCTGACTTTGCCCATAGTTTACTGTGTCATGCATGTTCCCAGTAGAATGCTTTTCCCATTTCAACACTGTTCCCAAATAAATGTCAAAGGCATTATTACTGGTTTTGTTAGTTGTGAAAATGCCATTGTTTTTAAGAGATACAGTCTAAAATGGAAATGTCACAATGTCCACAATTTAAAATATTTCAGATGAAGAAACCTGAAGCAAATACGGTCAACTGTTAAATCTAGGTTCACGTGTTGTTATCTAGTATGGCAATCTATCTTCCTGTATATTTGGAAATTATAATGAAATAAACTTTGTGGTGAAAAAAAAAAAAATAAAATTATACTACAGTCCCAAAAAAAAGTCAGTGACTAGAAGTCACGGCATCTAAGGCAGCTACAATGTGCAAGACAGGGCACTGGAGAAGAGAGCGATGCAGAGAAAGGAGGTCTAGAAACCTACATGCCTTGAGTCTCTGGCTGAAAATTAAGATGAGAAACTCTGAAAAGCAGGCAAAGAACAGATGGCAGTAAGCTGAACAATTCTAAGCATACACATAGAGCTGGGAAAAACTTGAGTGCCAACTAACCTGAGAGCAAAGACCTCACTGAACACCCAGGACATGCAAAGGGGACACAAGAAGAACCACACTTTAGTAGTAGGGCTAAGGGAGCCCTGCATGATGACCCCTCTAGACCTGCCCTAACAAAGCTTTAAAACAATATTGTTCGTAAATAATCATCTACCCAAACAAAAATCAACAAACTTATTTTTTAAAGACCACAGAATTAGCACTCAACAATCTAATGTTCACACTGTCCAGCATTCAATTTGAAAACATCATTAGAGAAGGAGTAAATTTAAGTATGGTATATATGATACATTGCAAGAACCTTTGTAATTGCCACAATGTACCCCCAACCCAGTACAATAAAGGAAAAGGAAAAATATATATCATTAGACTTGAAAAGTAGAAAATGTGCCCAAAACTAAGGGTGGAAATAGTCAACCCAATCAAACATAACCCAGAAATGAAAGAGATAACAGATTTAGCAGACAAGAACTTAAAACAGCTATCATCATACCTAAATAATTTTTTTTAAATATGCATACAATGAAGAGAAAACAGAAGCTATATTTTTTAAAAAGTAAACTGGAAATGCCATTTTGCATTTTATAATTTATTTCAAGGAAGTAG